CCGGCTGCGTTTTTCACTTTGCAGAGCCCTCTAAACCTACCAGGAAACGTTTCGCCTGGAAACGGATCAAACCGTTTCAGCAGTTACCTGGTTAATGAACCTGGTTAATAAAACAGGTACTGGAGCCACTTGGTTAATAAATTCTCTTCCCTCCTGCCAAAACCGGGGGTCGGTCCCCAAACAGGGACTGCCCCCCCATTCAGGGGCCAGTGGAGGCCACAGGGAGGCCCTGAGGGGCCAGTGGAGGCTGCAGGGGAGAGGGGAGACCCTGAGGACGAAGGGGAGGCTGGAAAGAGGCCTTGAGGGGCCAGGGAGGCCAGAGGGGAGATGGAAGATGCCAAGGGGCCAGGGGAGGCCACAGGGAGGCCCTAAGGCTCCAGGGAGGTCGCAGAGGAGAGGGGACACCCCAGTGAGCAAGTGGAGGTTGGAGGAAGGTCCTGAGGGGCTATGGAGGATGGAGGGCAGATGGGAGACCCCAAGGGGACACCAAAAGGAGGCCTTGAGGGGCCAGGGGGCCAGTGGAGGCCGCGGGCGAGACCCCAAGGCCCCAGGGAGGCCCTGAGGGGCTGGGGAGGCCCGAGGAGGGCGGGCAGCCCCGGAGAGGCCACCAATGGTCGGCAGAAACCTCCGCTCCTTCCTCCCTGCCTCCGGCACCGCAGCCGCTCTCCGTCATCTATCCGTGGTCCCGGTCACCAGGGGAGGTCCCGGGCGACCGGAGCCCCATCAGTGTGACACCCATCTACAAGGTGGATCCAATGGAGGATCCTTCGAGGCCTGGAGCACAGACCTTAAGACGAGCAGCGGAGGGAGCCGGGGTGGTTTATTCTGGAGAAAAGGAGGCTCAGGGGAGCCCCTGTCACCCTCTACAACTACCTGAGGGGAGGCTGCAGTGGGGCGGGCGTTGATCTCTTCCAGAGTGACTACCCCTAGGACAGGAGGACATGGCCTCAAGTTGTGCCAGGGGAGGTTCCAGTTGGATACGAGGGAAAATTTCCACATGGAAAGAGCGGAGCTGCCTTGGAAGAGGCTGCGCAGGGACGTGGCAGCGCCGCCGTCCTTGGCAGCGCCCCAGCCCCATGTGGATGAGGTGCTTGGGGACATGGCGGGTTCCCGGTTCCGCTCCGTGACCTCAGAGGCCTCTTCCAGCCACAACGACTCCATGAAACCTCCCCCACCCCGCCTCGCAGTGACGTCATCGCGAACACCCGTGACGTCAGGGGGGCGGGCAGGACGCCTGGGCCCAGCGCGGGGCACCGGGATCAGCACCGGGATCAGCACCGGGATCCCGAGTCCAGCGTGGGGATCGGCACCTGCATCGGGCCCGGCTTTTGGGATGGGAAAGGGGGGGGATCAGCACCGCAACAGCTGGATCAGGCCCGGCTTTTGGGGAGGAGAGGAAGGCGGGATGAGCAGCAGGATCCCTGGACTGGGCCCAGCTTTCCGGGAGGAGAAGGCGGGATGAGCAGCAGGATCCCTGGATCGGGCCCGGCTTCTGGGATGGGAAAGGCGGGTCAGCACCACAACAGCTGGATCTGCCCGGGTGGTTTCGAGGGGAGGAGAAGGGGCATCAGCACCACAACACCTGGATCGGGCTCGGCTTTAAAGGGAGGCCGAGAAGGGGGGTCTGCAGCAGGACACCCGGGTCCTTCCCAGCTTTCCTGGGGGGACCGCTCCGGAGCCGGTGACGCCGGGACACCATGGCCTTCCGCAGCTGCAGCGCCCTGTGCGCGGCGGCCAGCGCCAGGTAGGACGCAGCAGCCTTCATCTGCTCACCTAGAAACCCCGCTCGAGTGTTCCTTCCTGACAGCTTTAATTCCAGGTTATCATGACGTTCTTAATTAATGTCATGATAATCTGGAATTAAAGCCTTATTAATTAAGCTAGCAGTGGTCCCTCACGCTCTCCTCTCCTGCACTCTGACACTCCACATTAATGGTGACTGGTGCTCTCCTGTTTTCCTCCCTTTTTTTTTCCATACTGTACAAATTCAGGGCAAAACTAACACTTTAAATTAGCGCAGACATGGCCCAAACTTCCACGAGAGGTCAACTAGCCAAGCACAGTTAGTATTCCTTTTGATTTGGGCAAAATACCTGGATTTTCCACAGTGGTTATAATCCATGTTAGTCTCTGCAGGCTTTTCATCCTGTCCTTTTACAAATGAGACCTCAAATTATATAACCACGTGTCTCCCCCTCCCGTGTTCCGCATGTCTTTTCCAGCTGACAGCATGTTGTTTGCGGGGGGATAATGGGAGACAGCAAATGCAGAGAGTTATTTTCAAAAAAAAATAGGAAAATGAGAATGTTTTGCTCTTTTCTTAGTTTGCCACTGGCAAATTTTAACCTAGTCACTAGCAGGGCTATGTAGAAGAGCTCTGAAGTCTTGGGTTACTCAGAGAAAAGTTAATAGCATGAGACAGATTCTCAATATTTTATCTTTTGCTGGAGGATCAGAGCCTCAGGTACTGAGGGAGTCGCAAGAGCAATTCCACAAGATTAATGTGGCACTAAGAGCATTAATTCAGGTATAATTTTGAGTTAGCTCCGTCTCGATGCACTGTCACCCCTTAAATCCTTCTCCAGTTTCAGAAACTCCCATCTCCTCCTGCACTCCGGCTCTCCGTGTTCTCCTGCGGTCGCTCTGGTCCAGTTTGTGGATTCCCATTTCAACTGGCCTTGCAGCAGGCGCTCCAAAGCCCCGCGGTCGTGGCGGCACCCGCAGCTGGGCACCTTCCTACCTCGACCAGGGGCTGGAGTCGTGCGAGCGTTTCACACGCAGCAGGAGCGTCCAGAAAAGCCTCTGCCCGGCCGAAATGCTACTGCCCAGGGCACGGAGCCTCCCAAAACTCCAGCAAAACACGGGATGGAGGCTGCTGGGGGGAAAAGGTCGTTACGCCAGAAGATAGTGGATGAACTGAAACATTACTCCAACGGGTTCCACTTGCTTTGGATCGACACTAAGGTTGCTGCCAGGATGCTGTGGAGGTTGTTACACGGCCAGGTTCTCACTAGGAGGGAGAGACGAAGGGTAAGTGCTGGTCACCTTGCTAAAAATGCCCCCAGAAGCATATTGTAACTAAAGAAATGTACCCCTCGTGTTCTTTAGCATGCTTTTTTTTTGGCACAGATGAATAATAGTTCATGCTGCTCTCTTCTCTGTACAGTTGCTGAGAACATGTGCAGATCTCTTCCGGCTGGTCCCTTTCCTGGTGTTTATCATTGTGCCCTTCATGGAATTCCTGTTGCCTGTATTCTTGAAAATCTTCCCAGAAATGTTGCCCTCAACGTTTGAGACAGAGTCAAAAAAGGTTTGTGTCCATTGCATTGAGTCACAGCCATTAAGCCACTAGTAGAGAAATACAGAATCTAAAGCAATTATTAGATTGTTCTAGCCTTGAGTCAAATGTTTTGAAACATGGATTTGCATTTATGAAAAATGCACAAGTCCTGGGAATGACAATGACATGTGTTTTTTGCTTTTCAAACCTGAAAAAATATCAGGACTGGCTTGGCAGCTGTGGTTTTGAACAATTTGATGTTCTAAATGAATCCAAACCTCTTGGATTTAGTACCAAAGTCTCGCTCTTCCCTAGAACCCTGCTCACTCCCACTTTCCAAGTGGAATTTCTAATTCTATTTTGTTTCCCGAGTGAAGGAAGAAAAGCAAAAAAAGAGATTAAATGCAAAGCTGGAGTTAGCGAAGTTTCTGCAGGAGACCATTGCGGAGATGGCCAAAAGGAACAAAGCAGATACAGGAGAAGGAAAACAATTCTCTTCCTACGTGCACCAGGTAAAGTGGGGATGACAGCAGGCTGTAAAGTGTGTCGGGAGTGACAGCAGTGATAAATGCCCTTTTTTTTTAGTTATATGGTTTTAGCCAGAGAATGTGGGATTTGTGTGGAGGGAGCTTTGACAGCAGCGAGCTGCACTGTCAGGTCTTTGATCACTGGGATAAGCAAGAGGGTATCCCATTAATCAGTCTCAAAGACCTGGCATCTCCTTGGAGGGGAAGGGGAGTTTGGAAACCAGGATTCCGTTCCGGAGCGAGCGGCTTTGTGACGGCGATGCCTCTGCTTTGCTCTCGAGATCCGGCACACCGGCCAGCAGCCCAGCACCCAGGAGATCGTGCGCTTCTCCAAGCTCTTTGAGGACGAGCTGACCCTGGAGCACCTGGAGCGGCCGCAGCTGGTGGCCCTGTGCAAACTGCTGGAGCTGCCGCCCATCGGCACCAACAACCTGCTGCGCTTCCAGCTCCTGCTGAGGCTCAGGACTATCAGGACAGATGATGAGGTGAGTGTCACAGAGCGCAGACGCTGCTCCGGTGGGATATGTGCTGCTTAGTGGGCTGAATTCTGCCCTCTGGATCAGCCTTCTTACATGAGAGATGTGTCTCTGCCCACACTCCGTCCTGGGATGTGTGAAGGTTAATATTGCCGGGAGTAGGATTCTCCCAGGGAGAGATTCCAGGGAAAAACAGGAAGAGAGTTCATCTGGCTTACAGTGTGCCCAGGCAGCAATGCTCCTTCTCATTTCAGATGATTGCCAAGGAAGGAGTGAACGGCCTCAGCGTGTCTGAGCTCCAGAGTGCCTGCAGAGCCAGGGGGATGCGCTCGCTGGGGCTCTCGGCAGAACAACTGAAGGAACAGCTCAGACAGGCAAGTGGAGGCTGCTCTACCAAAAAGACACCAGAGAGGAAACCAAAAAGCATCAAGCCCTGGTAGAAACACAGTGAACACTGATGTTTTAACCTCTGAAAGAGACAAGACTTGTGATAGAGCCAACGCTGGTCTTTTATAAGCATTCAAACGATGGGTACTGATGAAGGTGCTGTGTTTTGAGGAGTCTGTGCAGAATGCAAAGTACTTAGCTTTCCATGTTGACTGTTCATAAGTAATGATATTGGTGCTTCACTAGTGGAAGCTTCCTCTACATTATCTGTTCCATAGCTCTTCAAAATGATTTTGGTCTCACTGTGATAACTTAAAATTGTATTAGTTAAATCCAAAGTAGCCTTAAGATAATCAAGGACAAGTACTATATAAACAAGTACAACGTTTAAATGTATTCTTTATAGCCAGTAAAAAACCTTTGTCTTCTTTTTTTTTTTTCTTCTAATAGTGGCTAGATCTACATTTAAAAGAGAATGTTCCACCTTCTCTACTCCTGCTTTCCCGTGCCTTGTACTTGATAGATATAAAGCCACAGTCTGTTCAGGTACCACAAAATAAGGTGAGTTGTTGGAGTAAAGCTCTCAGGTTAATAGTTTAGACATGCTTACATTACGAAAAATGAAGCACATATGAAATGTATGGGATGTGTGAAACTTGCTCTTTCATCCTCAGAGTGGAGGAAGTCACTGCACTAAGTTATGTGTTCTTCCTTAGGTAGATGAAACTGCTGAAGAAGTCATGCCAGCTCTTCCTGAGGATCAAGAGACTCTAGTGGATTCTGCCCCTGTCGTACAGGGAAGAAAGGTTAGAAGATAACAGTCTACAAGGAGAAAAATGAATGTACAGTGCTGTGACGTTTGGGAAGGGCAAACCTTTCCAAAACTAGAGGAGGGATGAACAAAAGGCAATTTCCTACCACTGCTCAGAGCACAAACAATGCATATTCTTGCACTGTGTGCATGTTTTTGTCTTTTGAGAGCGTCACAGTGACTGTTCTAAGGTAACAGGCAATGAAAAGGTGATGAATCTGCTGTGGCATGTCTGGTTCTGCTGCTGGAAACAGCTGCTTATTCAGTGCCTGGTTTGTTGCTGGCTTCTAGCAGCACACGCACTAGCTTTTAATTGCATTATTCACATAAAACAAATTAAATCAGCTTCAGTCCACATACATTTAGCTAACAGAAGCTGGTAAAAGAGTGAAATTTTTCAGCTCTCCTACTGAACTTGGGCCTTTTTGTCCACAACAAATATCCAAAAGAGCTAAAGAAAGCCAAAATCTACAATTCTGACTATAAGGCTGGGAAGAATCCATTAGTCCAAACTGATAGAAGGGGAATGTTGTGTCAGCTTCAAGAAAGGTTTCCACATAGCTCTGTCGAGCAATCTAGGAGAAATGGAAATGCCTTATTCAGAGAAGGAAAGGGACTGCGTGGAGTCTAGCTACAGCCTTGTTTCCTGATAGGGTTCCTGACTTAAATCTGCTTTTTCCTTAAAGAATGAAGAATTTATATCTCGGTCACCAGAGAAACTGCCTGTCTCAGAAGTGTCGGTTAAGCCACCACCCCGAGAGGTAAGATGTTCAAAGCTCTGTGGCTGTTCAAAATGAGATTTTTCTTTGCACAATTTGTAGTCAAGCTGCAGAAATCTGTGCTACAAGATTTTCTAGTTGTTTAGTTCAGAGAGTGACAGGAGAAATTTATGGAAGAGAATCAAGGGCTGTTAAATACAAAAGATAACCACTTATGGCTGCAGAAGACTCTAGGATGGTGTGAAGTTCCCTTGTGTGTCTTTAAAGACATTTCTACAATGAATCTGCCTTTTTTTTTCTCTATTGTTTTCTTTCTACAACTATTTGATTTCAATTTAGCTGTTTACACGTGGAGCTTTGATCTTAGCTGTTACTCTCTGTATCTGCTTTCCATATTAAATGGAATTCAGATTTTAGGACACTCTTGTATCGGTACTGCCTAAACTCTGCAGCCTTCTCTTACATTTAGAGTAAAATGGAAGCATCTCAGAACAGCAAGGCCAGTGCCAATGGAGTTTAGCCTGAAGCCAACGTGGACTGCCCACAACGAAGGGGAAAACTTTTGTCTCCCAGCCTTCTTCAACTAGAAGAGCAGTTTTCCAGGAACCTGAAGGTGTCTGTAGCCCCAAGGAGCCTCTTGGTCTGTTCCAAGCTTATTAGCAACAAGATTCTGCTGTCTAGATGGAGCCAGCCCCTCATTTGTACTTCATCCCTACATCCACCATTTTAACTTATGTTGTAAATATGTAAATGCTTATGTTACTGTGCTGTTACTTACTGAATAGGTGTACATGCTCCTAAACCTTAGGTAAGACAGCCTTTCATTTCCATAAGGGAGAATTTTCACCCTGGGCACAGGATGAGCTGGGCAGGAGCTGCAGGAAAGGCCATTGCGCTGCAGCCAGGGCTTGCAGCTTTCCCTGCTGCTGCTGTGCAGATCTTGATCCTGCTTTGCATGGTTTAACCTATAACTAGTGCACAAAATGACCATGTAACTGTTGCATTTAACTGTCAACGTTGTGCAGGGGAGAGGAGGAAGACCAGCACTTCTCTCCACGCCGTGTTTGAACTTGACTGTTCAGAAAGACTTCACCGCTCTCCTCTGGCCTCCTGAGCTTTAGGAGGGACATTTTTCCACTCCACGAGCACCTACACCCATCGGCAACAGCCGCAGCGCGGGTGTCCCTGCTGCAGCAGGAGACTGAGACTCTCTTTTTCAAGATCCTGCTGGGTCACATGCTGGGGTGGAGAGGGGACACGGCCACCTGGAGACACATTTGCCAAGTCTGAGATGAAACTTGGTGGTTAAACCTTATCAGGCTCAAAGCTATGCAGCAGCAAGTGCTCTGGGACTTGCTACTTTATAAGTAATTCTTCACACACTCCAGTGTTGACTGTTTTCTTGGTAGACTGTATATGAAAAGCTGTTTTTAGAATTTGTTATATTTTTGGACTTTGAGCTTTGTAAATGTTCAAGAACTACTCACTTTGTGGACATTAAACGGTGATATTTGTATTTAACGTCAAATTAAAGGTAGGCTTGGTGCTAAGTTGAATGCAACATCTCTTTCGGAGGCCAGGCAGCCTTGAGAACAATCCAACCCCCAAAAAAGCCAGTCAGGTGAGATGAGGAGTTAATCAGCACTTAAAATGTGTTGCTTCCTACTAGTGCAGAAGCAGCTTGCAGAAGACTTCCCATTTTGCTGTGCTTTTTGGTGAATTTCCTTCCGTCTCTGTGTCCCTGCCTCCTTGCTCCCAGCAGCCTGCAGTGCTGAAGAGCTGTGTTTTTCTCTACCTGGTGGTTAGTAAACAAGAGCAATGTTCTTTCAATAAATGCCCCGTTGCTCAAGTGTCACTCCTGCCTCGTTTCAGGGCGAGGTGTTGCCAGGGGTCATTACTTTGCTGACGGGATACAACAGCCTTCGGCTGCCTGTCAGTTCAGCAGAAATCCTTGTCTGCTTGATAACACCGACAGTCACTTATTTGTGCAGAGCTGACTTGTCTGCAGAGCCTGTTTCTTCCAGAAAAGCCTTTCCCCGAAGAGCTGAGGACTGACCTCGTTCAGTACCAGATTTCACTGCACTGGACACTGAGGTCAGTAGTGCAGGAGGAGCAGAATGCCAATGATTCCTGTACCTCTGCTAGAGCATGCAAATGTGTGGATGTAATTCCCGAAATAAGGACGAGCAGGGAGAGCTCTGCTTTTACAGACAGGAGGAAAGGGAATCTGTTTGGTAACAAACTCAGTGCAGTGTTGCACAGGGTTTTTAAAGTGCAAGATGAGAGAAAGAGCTGTGAAATAAACTTGAATATGTTATTACTATAAATACCAGGATAAATCTGCTCAGGCAGTTCAGTCATGGAATTGCATTATCTGAAGCCACTTTTACTTAGAAGCTGCAGTGTTGATTCAGAAACAGGGCAATAGATTCGGGAGCGCTTCCTGGGAGCTGGGGATGCCGTTGGAAAAGCAGGAAGGCCGGTACCATAACCAGAGGGTCACTGCTACACAGCCAAGTCTTCAGATCCCTTCGGATTTGCTTGCAAAAGGTCTTGCATAATTGCAGCTCTATGGTGGGTAGTTCAGCTAATACTAATCCAATTGGAGGGAATTGATCCCTCTCCTGTGTTTTGCAGGTGCATTCCCAAATCCCATTACCATCGACGGCTTTTTCCAGCTCTGCCACGCTGCCCCAAGCTCCCGGTCTTTGCTGGCGGTCAATAATTGCCATTAGTGTTACCAAGGGACGTGTTTTCCTTGCACAACGCAAAGGGGCCGTGCGGTAACGGCACAACCAGCGCTCGGGCCGCGTTTCGGGCCGTCTGGAGGCGATTGCTGGTATCTAATCGCGTCCAGGGCCGTGCCTGGCCCCCAGGGATTTGCTAGGGAATGAGTCTGATCCATGGGTTTATTATTAATAGCGCGGGACGGGCCTGTGCCATGAGCAGGTTCCTATGGGAATGGCATTGGGAGCGGAGAAGGACGTGTCCCTGCAGCGCCTGGTGCCACTGCCATTTGCCACCAGCAGATAGCAGCAGCCTGCAGCTATCTGGAAGTCACTTGCTTTTTCGGGAGCACTCGGATTAATCCCAAGTGTGGTGCTTATCCTTGCAGCTGGTGTGTCCTGGTCTTCCAGGCTTTCATCTTCGGGAAGCTCAGGGCAGGGCTGGGAATTCCAGGATGTTTGCAGAGCTCGGCGGCGCCGGGGGCATCCGCCTTTCCCAACAAGAGCCGGCAGAGCCGGTTAACAAGTAACTTCACCCGGGAGATTCCCGATTCCAAGCTCCGCTGCAGCCAGGACCAGCCCGAAGGAAAACGAGCTGCGGCGGATAACGAACTGGATTCTGCCCTCCGGAGCGGCCGCACCGACATGAGCGGAAAGCAATAACCCAAGAGCCGCTTTTCCACCTCCTTGGCCTCGGAGACCTTTTCCCCAGGAGCCGAGAGCCCTGGGAATTCACTTCCATATGCCGGGATGTAAGTGGGAGTCGGGAAGCAGCAGGGGATGGATTGGCGGTGTCGGAGGTGACGATGTCGGAGCCGAGTTCCAAATTGGTAGGAGCTTTTCCGGCCTTGCAGCAAGGAGTAGGCAGAAAATGACGGAGATAATACCCTTAATTTCCTGCAAGTGGATAATGTTCCCTTGAAAGGCTGCTCCAATGCTCTTTAAATACATCTTAAGAGCACATCTCCTACCGCAAAATAGGGAATAATGAGAGCAGTCGGTGGCTCCAGTCTGCTGCTCCCGCCCTGTATCTGCTGCGGCTCCCAACCCCCCTGGAGTTGGATATTCCAAGGAAAAGCACCACTTTGGAGAGGCCCCGGCACACCAGAGGCTGAGATTTATGGCTCAGGATTTATGGGACAAGGTTCCGCAGCCAGAGCATGCACAAGGAGACCGGGAGCGCCCAGGGACGCTGCCCCGCCCCCCCGTGCCGGCCGCACCCCGGGATCGGGGCGGCTTTGGTGGGAGCCGGGGCGCCGCGCGGCATGCGGAGCCACAGGCAGGGCTGCCCGGAGGAGCATCCGGGATTGATGATCCCTTCCCGCTCCCTCCTCCCGCGCCGCTCGCTTCCTCCGGATCCACCGATTCCCCATAAATCACTTGATTAAAAGCGCTACTTAATTCAGGCGGGCAGAGCGCAGCCGGAGCATTTAATTTGCCATGGAAATGGCAGCGGGCAGATGAACTGCAGCAGAGCAGCCGCCGCCGGCAGAGCATCCATCCCCATATCCCCGGATCCGCAGGATCCATCCCATCGCGCCCGCGCCGCGTCCCCGCCGGGCCCTCCCGCGGCCCCCGGCACCACTCGAGGCTCCGCGCGCTCGCGGTTAAAGGCTTTTAATAATTACAGGAATTCCGGGTTCATTACAGAAGAGTTTACAACAAATAATATTTCTCCATACAAAGGCAAAATAAACTTTTCAAGTAAGAGCGTCCTGGCCCTGGAGCGTCAACGGGGATGCGGCGCAGGGCGAGCGGCTCTCCGGCACCGCGCGCATCCCCGCGTCCTTCAATGCACTTGTTGCTCCCAGG